AAGATGGAACAAGGAAGAACAATGAAACCACAGTAAGACAAAGATGGCTACTGGGAGGTTTCCATATAGGATGGTGATGGGGGAAGGTGGCTCTGGGCAGGTGACATTTGAACTGAGACCTGAGGGATGGGATGGAGCCAGCTTGTGAAGACAGGCAAGGGCGAAGGCTGGGAGGGGGGAATGAGCCTGTCCGGGGAACCTATGGCAGGCTGTGTGGCCGGAGCGGAACGAACTGGGGAAGCACCGTGCACAGTGAGGCTGGCGAAGGAGCAAGAACCAGACCAGGGAGGACCTTGCCATTCATGGGAAGGAGATTGGATTTCTTTTTTAAGTGCAAAGGGAAGCCATTTGAGGGTTCCAAGCAGAGAAGTGACATGAACTGATTCACTGGTTAAAGATAAACTGAAGGGAAGAGAAGAGAGGAAACCTGCTTTTTCTGTGGGTAAAGTGAGGTAGGAGGGAAATCTCTTTTCTGCCCATTCATCTTCAAACCGTGGTTGATATCCACTCTGAGATTCGCTAGATGCTGTTGCTTGCAACTAGATTTTTCTCCTACGTGTCCAAACGAGCATGAGCCCAAGCTCAGGGGCAGGATGTGGTTTCGGTATGCGGTGACCACCCTCCCTTCCTCCGGTGGCCCAGAACCTTTCCTGTTACTGCACAGCTAGTCGCTGCAAATCATGCTACATATCCCACAACCCACACGGTGATGACACCATGGAATTCAGGAGGAGCCGAGAACCGTCCTCCTCCTCCTCCTCCTCCTCCTCCTCCCCCTCCACCCTCCTGCCTCTCCTTAAGGCCACAAATACCCGGCACCTGGGCTAAAATCTGCCCAGCAGAAACCAACAGCCACTTCCAAACAAGACATTTGCTTCCGCTCTCCTTTTCTCTTGTGGCAAAGAATCCAACTGGCTAAGGCCCAGCGGTTCTCAACCTGTGGGTCGCAACCCCTTTGGGGGTTGAACGACCCTTTCACAGGGGTCGCCTAAGACCATCGGAAAACACATATATAATTACATATTGTTTTTGTGATTAATCACTATGCTTTAATTATGTTCAATTTGTAACAATGAAATTGGGGGTCACCACAACATGAGGAACTGTATTAAAGGGTCACGGCATTAGGAAGGTTGAGAACCACTGGGCTAAGCCATCTTGGTAAATCAATGGCTAAATACAATTCTACTCTCCTAGGCACACAGCTCTCTTGACACAGAAATTAATAAATCCTGTCCTCTTGACCACGAATTTCACACAGTACTACCTACCGGTTGGTTCTGGGCCTATTTTTCATGCTGATATGAAAACTGGGCCTAAAAGGTTTACCCAAGGCTAATAAAGGTGTTATTAACACTTTCTGGGTGTTATTTCTCCCTTAATGTTAAAAGCTGATTACCTGTCACAAGGTAATATTGATAGAAAATTTCCAGACTCTGTTTCCCAGAACAGAACCATGCATGGCATTGCTGCTGTTTTTAGAGTAAAGTTTGGCCCTAGGTGCACATGTGATTGGCCTTGAGAAACTGAAGTTTTGAAGCTATCAACATACATGTGTTCTGTTAGACATATCTGGGCTCAAGTGCTGGTTCCGTCACTTACTACTGCTGGTATGTCTTAGGTGAGTTACATAACTTCTCTGAGCTGCAGTAGCCTCTGTTGTCAAATGGAGAACCCATCCCCATTGGGTTACCATCGAAGCTTAAAGGAAATCACACATGTAAAGTGCTTAGCACAGTTACTGCCATGTAATAAACATCCTTTATTATTATTAGCGAAATAAGACTTCATGGTAGATGCACCTGTGTAAGTCATAAAATGTATCAACATTAACTTTTATTAACAGAGAGGGAGATATTAAATGTATCACCAACATAATAAAAATGACATAAAGGAATATTAAAATTTTGAAAGCATCTAAGCAGTTGGTTGACAATACATAAAATTGAAATAGAGGAGTTCTAAAAGTCTTTAAACCAACAGTAATTTTACCTAGTAATATTCTCTGTATTGTAATAATAATAATTCATTGAGTATATTCTTGGTACCAGGCACTATGATGAGTGCTTTATGAACACATTTTATCTTCACAGCAACTCTGAGACAGGAAATATTATTATGCATGTTTTGCAGATGGGAAACTGAGGCAGGCAGTCTGGCTCTACAGCCCTCACTCTTGAACTCTATGATATATACAGTAGAAGTTGGCAAACTAGGACACAAGGGCCAAATATGGTCCCCCACCTGTTTTTTAAATAAAGTTTTATTGGAACACAGCCACACCTGTTCATTTACATATTGTCTTTTTACATATTCATCTCATAACAACCCTGTGATGTAAGTAGTCCTTCTATTTCCATTTTAGAAATGAAGAAACTGGGGTTCTGAGAGGTTAAATGACTTGAATCATAGACTCGACAGTAAACTCCATGAGTGTAGGGATCATGCGTCTGTATCCGCACGTCCACGTCACCTACCACAACACCAGGATAGAGTTGCCACTCAAAAAACACTTGCTAAATGAATGACAGATGTAAAGGTCACCCAGCGAGAGAATCTAGGTCTCCTCCCGACCCCACAGCTGCCCTGGAGGTGAAGAGAAGGACTTTCCATTAAGATGGGATTAAACACAGGGCAGTGAACATGTCATTCTGCTGTCGATGGACAAATTTTGGCTGCTCTATTCCTTCTCCTCCTCAGAGATCATTTCAGTCCGACCAGAAGGTTTTTTCTTTTCCCTCAAATGCACAGTCATGGTTCTGAGATCATTCTTGTCCTTGTGATTGGCACATTTTTAGACAAAACTAAAAGTGACACCCTCATGAGATGGTAGTCACAGGGACTCAGTTTGGGATGGATTCCAGACCGAGCTCTGCCCGCCCTCCTCCCACCCCCTTGACCCACCTCCCACCCCCTCACCCCTATGAGTCACACAGCCGACTGCCCTTCCAAGAACGACTCGAGGCTTTGTTTTCTTTCATCATGCTTTGTGTTGGTCATGTGAGGCTCAGGGTATTAATAGACCATCGCTTGGCCTTCTGAATCTTGTTGTTGGTCCGGGAGATAAATGAAAGGTCTGGCCAGTCCCTCTGTGCCATTTTTCACTCCTCTTTTGACTGTCACGTGCTGGTTGGTGACAGAGCTGGGCCAGGCAGAGGGCATCCAGGGTGGCCACTGCCCACGGACGTTTTGAATTCTTGCCTCTCTTAGTGGCCACTTGGTAGCCCCTGACTTCCGACCTTGGATCACCAGTACTAATCTTAACAAACCAGCCGCTGCCTTTTCTAGGCGCCTTCTTCCCAGTCAGGTGACGGCGTCTCTGCCTGCATGTGTGAGAGAGAGAGATGCCAGGCAAGGAAGGAAAGCTTTGGGGGTGGTTCTTTTTGTTTTTTATTTTTGAACTTAAAGCTATGCTCAGGAAATTAAAAGCCTGTATGTGGTTTGACAGGCTCCCAAGGGGCTCCATGGGGACAGAATTTTTAAACAAATGCTTTGGAAGCAGAGGTTCTTTGAATTGCTTGGGGCTTGGATCCAACAGTTTCAGTTCTCCTCTGCAGCCCAGTTTTTAGAATGTCACTTTGCTAGTTCCCTCAGCCTTGATTCCAGCACCCAGCACAGTGTCATATCCAGTGTTTACTGATCTGAAGGAAAGTTCAGTTGGGGCCTGGCCAGGAGATGAAACTCCCCTGGAAAGTTTCCGAGGAGCAGGGATTCAAGCTCTCAAATAAAGCCGAGATCTTGGTTCTCTATGTCTAGTTTACTTTTTAAGACTAAGGCTAGTTAGGTTTTCCTGAGGCCTATTGGATTCTGGTAAAATTATTTTCACTTTACATCAACCTCTTTTGTTGATGACTCTGTGAAAGCATGAAGGGTGATGAGGACTCTGCCAAGGCCTCTCACTGTGTGTGGAGTAATTGGTAAGGATTAGTTTCTCAAGCCTCACTTTGCCCATCTGTGAAATGGGTCACTCCAGTCTGCAGTTTTACTTTTCAACAATAGAATCTTTGAATTTTTACAAAAATCTTTCCACATCTGTAAAGAATCTTGCTATGGAAGGGAAGGAAGATTGGGCTGAGGGTGGATCAACTTAAGTTACTATCTCTCTTCTTAATTGGTGATCATGGGGGTGGTGGGAATGGGACAGACTTCTTCAATGAACAAACTCACCTTTATTTCCCACCTAATTAATGCCAGCCACTCTGCTCAGGGCTGTATGTGCATGCCCTTGTGGAAAGCTCTCAATAACCTTGGGGACTCTAAGTGTTAGTAGTACAGATGAGGAAACTGAGGCACCAAGAAACTCAGTCATTTTCTCATAGTCACAGAGACAATAAGTGGTCAAACCAAGACTTGAACCTACACCTAGAGCTGCAAATATCCTAGCCTCTTAGCAACAGATACTCTACATCCCTGAATTTCTCTCTCTTCCAATGATTGGACTCTTTCTACAAAAAGTTAAGTGCAACAAAAGAGTGTAATTAATAGGCATTTTCATTGAATGCTGCATAAGCAGGAGATATCCTGGTAAGAATGGCCACTTCCTTGGAAAGTGCCTGGGAAAGGTGAACATGAGCATTTGGGCGCCTTGCAAGCGGTCAGTGCCAGTGGGGAAGAAGTTCAGTGCGGGTAAAGAAGTCCTGCTTGGAGTGATTATTCGGAACTCAGACATTCGCAGGTCATAAGAGGTTTCGTTCCCTTCAGAGTACATCAGCTCCACTTGCTGAAGTAGGACAAGCAGAATGAATTAGCCCCGGCTGCAGCCAAACTCTTTATATGTAAAAGAAAAAAAGCAATTAAATATTCAGTCTGATTCTTGGGTTTTCAATTACCCCCATTTGTCTTTCCCTTTGAGCATCTGCTTTTTATTGCCTCGTGGCCCTGCCTGCCGTTTATCTCTCCCCGTCAGTCTGTATCTACGTGTCATGTGACTCAAAAGCAAAGATTAGAGGAGAAAAATATCTCTGTATTCTAAGCCTGGCAACTTCTATTTTTACCCACAGCTGTTGGAACTGATAGCGAAGTCACAGCTCACATCCCTGAGTGGCATTGCCCAAAAGAACTTCATGAACATTTTGGAAAAAGTGGTACTGAAAGGTGAGCTCTCTCTCACTCTCTCACCCCTTTTTATAGGCATGGGGATGGACAGATGGATTTTCCAGCAGAGTGGACATGTCATTAGATGTAGGGGAGTGTGAGTGGATGGAAAGGAATCACTCCAGATGCATCTCAGATCCCAGATGAGAAAAAGGCACAACTCATGCCCATGGCAAAGAGTAAGAGCACCACCCTCCTGTCCTTTTCCTGAAATCATCTACCCTGCCGTAAGCCTCTCGGTTTTCTCAGGGTCAACACCTGTCCCCACCTTGGATACCAAGCCTCTGGAGCCCAAATCCCTAGAAAATGGAGCTGTGTACAAGGCAGAAGAGATTCCTGGGCTCTTGGAGCTAGAAGGAACCTTGGGTTTTTGGATCAACTGAGTCATTGTACATATGGGGAAACTGAGGCCCATGAGAAAGAGTGATTTGTCCAGATCACACAAAGAGTCATCCATCCAGGATTAGAACCCATGCTCCCGACTCCCCTATGCTCCTGCCAATAACCATCTAAACGGGATGGCACAGCCGGGCAAAAGCACCTGCTTTCAGCTCAGGTGAACCGCTGGTGTGGGTGGAACAATGAAAAAGAAAGAGTCTTTGTAGAAAACTAGGGAGACTAGAACAAAGAGGGACCCAGATAACGGAAACTCTACCCGGTAACCTCGAGTGCAGAAGCTTGGCCAGGCCGAAAGAAAACCGTATCCCCAGAGGCCGTACCCCGGTAACACGAGCAGCATACAGAAGAAAGGCCCCCTTACACAATGTAGGGTGTCCCAGTGGCCTAACTATTATTTCTCTCTTTCTTCCCCACCCAAGTCCTGGAAGACCAGCAAAACATTAGACTAATAAGGGAGCTACTCCAGACCCTCTACACGTCCTTGTGCACATTGGTGCAAAGGGTCGGCAAGTGCGTGCTGGTCGGGAACATTAACATGTGGGTGTACCGAATGGAGACGATTCTGCACTGGCAGCAGCAGCTGAACAACATTCAGATCACCAGGGTAAGCAGGGCCGCCCAGCTCAGCCTGGCAGGGGAAGCTGCAGTCGGCTCTTTATCTCCACTCTGGTGCTGAAGAGCCTGGACCGTTCTATTCTGGTGCTGTCTACTGAGTGCTGGAGGGGGCTTCCTGATAACGGGAGGCTGGGGAGAAGAACTTGGCGAGACAGGATCAGAGGGTGTGAAAGAGGAAACGCGGTGGGAGACCCGGCAAGTGGGCTTTGGGGAAGAGGCTGGCTGTGCTGCTGAAATCTTTAGTGCCGTTTGCAGGTCTCTCCTCTTCGGCCTTTTCTTCTTAAAGCCTGTGTTGTTTGCAGCTCTTGGATGCTGCCGCCTTGGATGCAATAGAGCGGTGGTGGCCGTGGCTTGGAGAACTGGTCCCAACCTTTTAAAATTCTAGTTCCGAATCTCAAGGGTTAGGACAAAGGAAGCCTTTGATTAAAGACTATGAACATACATGTGAGAAAACACATGAGCAATTCTAATTCAAAGCCCCACCCCACCCCCCCAAAAAGAAAGAAAAGTCCTATATTACCAGCTTAACTACTATCAGTGGTTTCTTTTCGGTTTTAACTTGGCCCTCAGTTCTCGTCCTCTCACCAGTGAGCAGGAGGACCAAGCCCATAAAAGCTGTGAGGAGATGCGGGGTAATCTCCCAGGGCTCACTAATGGACAGGCGCACTTAGGCCGCTCATGTCGCACTTGGCTGACTTATCTAACCACTGACCACGGCTGCTTTAAGTGGTTCCGGGACCCACGCTGATAAAGTTTGGGTCTGCCCCACCTCTCCAGAAAATAACATGAAAAACCTCTTTGACCTCTTTTAAATGATTCTTTTGCTAAATGAAGTTTTCCCAATGCAGTGTCCTTGAAACTACTGTTCAAAACCTCTCTGCACCTTGGTTTCTTAAACTCTGAAACAGAGGCCTCATAGTATGTGACTTCCTTAGAATCACACACACATGTATACACATGCACACATGCACACACACACACACGCAATGCAGAGCACAAGCCCAAGTAATCTATCAAAAGCGATCTCAATTCTTAGACTGTTATAAGATAATACAAGACTTTCCTATGAGCGTTTATCTGATTTATTTTAAATTATTCCATTCCCATCTCTCAAGGGTAGGCATAGTTTGACCCTGTAAATTTGAGGCCCAAGTTTCCAGCTTATCTCTCACAGAAAACCCACTTACACTTTCTACCTAATCTCTGGCATTATCTGTAGCCTGGACTTAATACTTCGTGTTTTTTTCTAAGCCCAGAAGAGAATTACCCAGCCAGTGATATAAATGAGCAAGTCCCAGTTGTGCCAATCCATTTTCCCTCCAGCAACTTTGGGACACCCAGTGGATGTCAGTCTTGCCCAGAGCTGGCCTCTGTGCCCTCTGTCCACCTCTCAGGAGCCCCTTGACCACATCCACCCACGTACCTTGCACTTCCATGGGCTGACTTCCCCAGGGGCCCTTTCACTTGACCCACACACACCCTTGGGAAGTAGCATTGTAGTTTCTATTTCTTCATTGGAGGTGAGGGGGCCAGAGAAGTTCAGTGACTTTCTCCAAGTAACTCAGCAATTAGAAACAGAGCAAGGCCAGAACCCTGGACTCCTTATTCCTAAAATGGCAAAGTTTTCTTAACATCAGTGCTTTCCAAACTTTCTTTCAATCCAGTTTTCTTCCAGCTATTTATTCAGTGATTCAGCTTTTTGCAAATCTTTTAAATCCAAAGAAATCCCACATAGAGCCGATTAAATACTGAAGTTCATCTCATTCTGCTCATGGTGCTCCACTAGGCCAAGCTGTTCTCTGCACACTCTCAGCTTGGTCCTGGCATGGACCTTTTAACTTGTCACCTCCCCTGACCACCCAATCTGTTGAAGCCACTATCATCTCACCTCCTCCAGAGCAGTTATTACCATCTGAAATGACCTCATCTGGGGATTCACTCTGTGGTCTCCATCCACTGTCTCATCAACTCCACAAAGAAAGAACATTACCATCTTGTTCCCTGCTCTGCCCCCTCTATCTGGCATAGAGTAGAAGGCAGTCAATAAATTTAGTTGAATGAATGAATGATTGAAGGGAAGTTTCCACCCACCGCCTGCCTGAAGTACTTGTGAGATTTAAGAAGTTAATACATGGAAAGCGCTTGGAACTGTGCCTGCCATGCAGTAAGTATTGTAAATGCATCAGCTGTTACGATTATGAAGGGCCCACTCTGTGGCGGACACTCTTCTATGTCCTGTACATTCAGCAGGATGGGGCAGAAGTAGGTTTATAGTTGTCTGTGAAACAGAGTTTATTCTTGTATTATTCTTAATCATATTACTTTCTGTATGAACCACTGTAAACCCACTTTTGCCCCACCCTGTATATCAACCCATCTAGTGAATAACTAACTGTAAGTAGGAGTCATCACAATAGCTAATAGTTCCTGGGCACTGTGCTAAGGACTTGCGTGCATCCGCCATTCCATTCCTCCCAGCAACACTGTGAGATACGCGTTTCCTCATTTTGTAGATGACGGAGTAGTTAGGAATAACCTGGCCGGGGTGTCGCCACCTTTAAGACAGGGCTTGGGGATTGAACCCAGACCTGTCTGCAGAGGCTGTGCTTTCATCAACGCTCTCTCCTCCCTCAGGCCCTCCTTCTTGACCCTCCTTGGCCATGAGCTGCAAGATTTTGAGAGCAGGAAACCCTGAGAGTCATGAGGAGCTTTTCATGCAAATGGATAGAGAAAGAGAGAGGGAGGGAGGGAGAGAGGAGAAAGAGAGAAGGGGTTTAATTACTTCAGTCTGGACTGTATTTAAAAAGCTTACTTTTTAACAGTTTGGACCAAAGAAAAGTACTTTATTACACAAAAATATTAACAGGTGACATTTATATGAATTGCTTTCTAGTTGTCAAAGTTCTATCGGTATCTTCTTGTCCATAAAATTTTTATATCTAACTCTATGGAGTCAGTTTTTTATTGGCAAACTAATCAGTATAATAAAGGATGAAAAATGAAAAGAACGGGGTTGGGGGAGGGGGGTTAAATAGAATCACAGAGCGCTGTGAGCGAGGCAGGGTTTTGAAGCCTGTGGGCAGGGAGGACATAAAGGATTTTAGCCAAATGCTCGATCAAAGGAGCAAGAGTAACTTATTTTTCTCTTAAATGTTTATATTCAAGAAGAAGAAGGCACACAAGCAGTTAACCGCGTATCAGGAGTAAGGGCTCAGCATGGGGTCTGGGCAAGAATTTTGGGAAAGTTCAGGTTTGAAAATTTGAAGGTGAACTCTGCCAAGCGGACTTTAATAGGAGTTCATATAATAATTGGCCTGGGAGTTTTAACCAAAAAAGTAGATGCTTTGAAGTGCTGGGAACAAAGAGAAAACCTCCTGGCAGTTTTATTAGCTCACATGATCAGCAGCAGATGATAAACGACAAATAGGTCTCGGGCCTTCTGCAGCCCGGCAGAGTCCTGAATTTTACAAACAATTGAAAGTTCAACCCCGCAGCCTGAGCAATAAAAATTGCCAAGTCATAGACACTTCTGATGAGTTAGGAGGCTGAAACAGCTCCAGACCTGAGCTTGTTGGAGCTAGAAGGGATCTTCAGAATCTTCTAAACCAATTCATTTTGGACATGGGCAGACAGACCCACACTTCCCAAGGGTACCTGAGACCAAGATCTGTTGCATGTCCATCCCGTGTCCCTCCCATGTTCTTCGTAGGCCATCTTTCCAGGTCCCCCGCCACTGCCACCTTCCCTCTACATGCCTGTCCTGCTTTGCAGGGGACACAGGATGGAATTGCTAATTGCATGTCCCCCAGGAATCCTGGTGGTCGGGCTTTGATGTGCTGCCTATGGAGTCTAGTTCCCTAGAAATTTGAGAAGGAAACTCAATACCGATTCCCAGGATATTTTTCCCTGAGCTAAGGAAGGGTTTCTTCATTCTGTACTTCTTTTCCTGTGACCCGCAGAGGTGACAGAATACTGAGCTGAAAATGTCAGTAGTGCACACTCAGAAAGCCCACCCAGGAATCAACCACAGTCTCAGGTGACTTGTGCTGACTTCTTATCCAGATGGCAGCATCCAGTTGATGCTCTAGACCTGTCAGCAAATACTGAGGACTGTCTATGTAGAGACTGCTCACAGAGTGCTTTCTGCACGCCTCCTAGGTAGCATTTAACAGGTTTTTCTAGAAGTATTTGCTTGTTTCTGGGTCTCTCGCCTGCCTAATGAGTCGTTGCAGCACCTCCAGGGCCAGCCCATAGTAAGCCCTCAAAAGGTGTTGCTTGTGCTGGGCTAGTCAGCAAAGAATACTAAGTTAGACCCTGGCTTCAGGGATGGGGGTCTGGGTGGGTTAACACGGACTCATCCAATTTAAGCAACAAAAGGCTTAAATAAACGTTCAGGAATATAGTTGAGAAGCTCGTGATCAATTACCAAGGCATTATCCACACACAAACAGTGTTCAAAATGTTCCGTGGGGCCCTAGGTTTGAATAGAGATGCCTCCATGGCTGGTGGTGGCATTTAGGCTACCAGGATTCTGGGTGCTATTTTCACAGTGCAAGTACATGTGTGCACACACACATGCATACACATACACACACACACACACACACAGACACCAACCAGTGCAGGGTCGTTTGCTGCTGCTGTTGACCTATTTAATGATTCGGGTGTCATTCATTCCACAAATATTTATTGAGTGCCGACTATATGCTAGGCGCTCTTCTAGGCATTGGGGGCACAGCAAAGAAAAAAAGATCAAACGTCCTGCCTCCTTGGACTTACATTCTAACAGCAATGTGGTATCCTGGCTTCCTTTTGTAAAAGGCTGCATTATAAAACCAAAGGGGGCCTGCAGCCAGAAGCACCTGAGAGAGAGCCTAGGGGTTCTGGGCAGATGCGAAGAATAAGGCCTGAGGGAGTCGCAAGAGCCAGAAAGGCCTTTTGGAGGAAGCGTACCATTTGGATGGGCAGAGAGGGAGGGCAGGGGGAGCGGAGGCCTCGTGGGCAGTGTGTTTGGGTGCTGGTGAGCAAACCTGCTTGGGGGTCAGTGGTCACCAGGGGCCAGTGAGGTAGGAGGCTGGGGCGGCAGGCAGGGGGTACTCTGTCCAGGACAGTGAGCTCTCACAGAAGGTAGCGAATCTCCTAATTGAGTGAACTGACTAAAGCAGGAGAAGCCAACGTGTGCTGCTGGGGAAATCTTGAGTCAACGCATGAGGCTTTGTGAAGCAGGAAAATCTCCTGGCACCATTCAGCTCCAGCGGTCCAGGCTCTTTGTGGTCTCAGCCATGGCCCTGTGTCTGTGCTTAGGGCAGGAAGAATTGCTGCTTTGATGTCTGATCAATAAACCAGCTTGAAGATGGAGGGTGAGGGGACAGCTGCATCCTTGGGGGCTGTCGTCTGGTGACCTGCTGCTCTCCGCCCCAAGACTTAACATCACCTTCTCCCCACAGCCTGCCTTCAAAGGCCTCACCTTCACCGACCTGCCTTTGTGCCTGCAACTGAACATCATGCAGAGGCTGAGCGACGGGCGCGACCTGGTCAGCCTGGGCCAGGTGGGCCCCAACCTGCACGTGCTCAGCGAGGACCGGCTGCTGTGGAAGAGGCTCTGCCTGTACCACTTCTCCGAGCGGCAGGTCGGTGCGCCCCGCGGACACTCCTTCCTTCTCCCCCCTCCTCGGTCCCCACCCTCAAGCTTCCTTGGCGTCTTCTCAAGCTTGAAGTGTGGGTGCCCACCCTCCAGGGCTCCCTGGTTTGACTGGAAAACAACAGTCGGAGGACTTTCTAAATTGTGTGTGTGAGATTTTGGTATTTTCTAGGTGGTTTTGATGGGGGGAAAAAACACCTTCATAACCATCCACACTTTACAACTTTCTAAAAAAAAAATTCACAAATTGACACCAGTCCTTCTTTTCTATAACAAAGTAACATACTTTTATGATATATTACAGCTAAAGTAGCTTTACAGGTATTATTTCATTTTATATTAATGACCCCAGGAAGGGTGGATATCATGATGCCCACTTTAAACAGATGAGGAGACTCGGGCCACAAATGGCTGAGTAACATCGAAATTACTGAAGGGGTTCTCTAGTTGAAGAAACTGGCCTTGAATTTGAATTTGGGCCTCTTGACGCCAACTCTAGGCTCTTCCCCCTCCTCATGCTGCCTCAGTCTTTTTTTCCAACTTCTTTATATAGAAGTGTGAGGTCAACTAGTTCTGCTCATGAAGCCTGTAATATTTAGATATAAAATAGAGCCACTGTGCCAGGCAGTCACTGCATCTCCCTGGAAATGATCACTCAAGCTAGAGCAAAGAAAAGATTGACATTGTTCATTGAGATCACCTAAACTTTAATTTTTTTTAATTTATTGATTTTGAGAGAGAGAGAGAGAGAGAGAGAGAGAAACATTGATTTATTGTTTCACTTACCTATGCACTCATTGGTTGTTCCTTTTATGTGCCCTGGCCAGAGATCGAACCCACAACTAACATTGGCATATTTGGACGATGCTCTAACCAACTGAGCTACCTGGCCAGTACTAGCCAAATGCAGTTTAGTGGAGGTCACTAGAACAGTGGTTCTCAACCTTCTGGCCCTTTAAATACAGTTCCTCATGTTGTGACCCAACCATAAAATTATTTTTGTTGCTACTTCATAACTGTAATGTTGCTACTGTTATGAATCATAATGTAAATATCTGATATGCAGGATGGTCTTAGGCGACCCCTGTGAAAGGGTCATTCGACCGCCAAAGGGGTCGCGACCCACAGGTTGAGAACCGCTGCACTAGAAAGATGTCACCAAGCACGTGTTTCTTTTAAAGACTGATTAAAAGCTGTTTATCAGAAGCTTCTTTCTATCTTGGCCATTTCCCCTTAGCTATTATAGGATAGAGATGAAAAAGGAGGGAAGCGGTGGGAGCAGAACTTTCAGAACCAGAAAACCAAAAGCTCTCTCCTTGCTGAACTCTCCTGCAATGACTTTTATTTGATATTTAGATCCGCAAGCGATTGATTCTGTCGGACAAAGGACAGCTGGATTGGAAGAAGATGTATTTTAAACTTGTGCGATGCTACCCACGGAAAGAGCAGTATGGAGACACCCTACAGCTTTGCAAACACTGTCACATTCTTTCCTGGAAGGTATGTTCCTCGGAGGTGGCAGCCACAGGCCCCTTGCCCAGCCCCTAAGAGCCAATAGTACCAGCCATTACGACGCCAACTCCTTTCCTAATTGCAACCTCCAGCTGAAGGTGAAGATAAAACCAGTTCTTTCCCTGGGGAAAAAAACTTTCAAAGACCATAATTTCCTTAGCCCCCCCCCCCTTTAGGTTTATTTTTTTCTGCAACCCACCCACCCCCAAATTCTCCCATCCCTGCACACAAGTGCGCGCACGCGCACTCGCGCGCGCACACACACACACACCTCTTTAGTTTTTGCAGAATTTATGGCATTCTTGGCAGAGGGATGTTGTTTTGAGTTGGGCAATGCCTTATGGTGCTCCAAGCCAACGAGATGCTTCTGAGAACTCAAACCTGACCTTGATGTTCCTTTGCAGGGCACTGACCACCCGTGCACAGCCAATAACCCCGAGAGCTGCTCCGTTTCACTCTCTCCCCAGGACTTTATCAACTTGTTCAAGTTCTGAATCACAGCCCATGACAACACTTCCGAAGGGCTCCCTGCTGATTGGATGTTGGGAATACAGAGTTTGGACACTTCATTTGTAAATAGTGTACATTTTAAACATTGGCTCGAAGCTTCTGAGATAAGTCACGGAGAGGACACTGGAGGGGAGAAACGCAGTCGCTGGCTGGGAACTTAAGAATATGGACTTCTCATTAGAATTGGTATGGAAAAGCAGAAATACTGTAAATAAACTTTATTTTCCCTAAAGATTTGCCAGCAAGATGATAAGGGCAGGAGTTCCGTGTCATCGGTGAAAGTGGAATTCTCTTGATGGTCACGGGAACTCCTGTATATAGAGTTCCTCAGAGATGTGGAAGAAGAGGGCAAAACTCGAATACAGGATAGAACACGCTTTGTTTACAATGTGAAAATGTGTTTTAAAAAGAAAAAAAGAAGAAAAACTGCAGATGAGAAATCCCTGGGCTTTTGGTTTTGATTTTGGGTTAGCTTTGAAAAGGCAACGGAAGTACCACCCATCTTACCCCGCTACGGGCACACATAGGGCCTTATCTTATGAAGATATCACACAATAGTCTACCTCGGAAAGCATACAGCGATCTCTCTGACACAGTGTGTCGTCCAGTAGGCAGTGTCTGTGCGTCTCGTTTTCTCATCGGATAAAAAGTGATTGAAAATGGAGGGGGTCTTGGAGGCAGTCCTCATTAGGCTCCTTGGGAGGTGAAGGGGGCAGTCTTCAGAGTTGCCTCTCTACTAGAACAACCTCAAAACATGCAGGCCTTTTATCCTTTTGTGTCATAGCTCATTCAGGGCAACAGAAGGCCAATTAAAAACCATCCCAGAGGATGTCCAATCACAGAAAAGATAATTAGTCACCCCCTGCTGTTTAATTCTTGGCATGTCTGCTTCCTGGGGCATCTTCTCGGATAAGCGTCAGCGTATCTGTGTGGACTGGTCGGAGCCAGAGTGCTGATAAAAGCCTGTGAAGCAGGTTTGACCTGTCAGTGGAACCCTTCCTCTCGATGGGTGATGAGCTGAGGAGCTTTCTTTTCGTTACGCCCCACGTCTAAATGTGCGACCTGCGCGAGGGCTTCTTGCAGGATGATAACATAAAGCCTGGCGTTCCAGCCAAATAGGGAACAGAGGTGCTTAGAGTTCATCCTAAACATGCTTTGTACCCCAGGGGATCTTGCTTGGCCAATACCAGTAGGTAACTACGTGGGAGAAAAATCTCAGGACGTAATGAGTTCGTTATCAAATATTCCTGGGATAGGGTGGGGAGTGTTTTTGTTTTTTACTTTTTATAGAACTTTGCTTTTCTACAATAATGTACATATTTTTGCCATTGTATTTGCTTTGCCTTTTTTTTTTCTTGTAAATAAAGTTGCCACCCTGCATGTGCTTGGAAAATAAGTGAAGCAAAATAGGAACTTGGTTCACATCCACTCTGAGAGTCAGTGAATCCTTAGGGGTTGAACTTGGGGTGACCTGAAGAAGGGAAAGATGGGTAGGCATGTACAGAAACAAGCCCAGGGACCAGCTAGTGATGCGGGGCCTTCGCATGCCCTTCCCTCAACACGCAGCTCAAGTACCAACATTTGGAAGAGAAGCCAGTTGTTAGTCGATGCTCCTCACTTTGCAATGTTTGTGCCCACACCACGGTTTCTCAGTAATTTTTTCATGACCACCCTCCAAGAAGAAAAAATTAAATTGAATTTAAATTCTCCCTAATGAGAAAAATTAAATATTAAACAAAATTTTATTGGGTGATATTGAGCTTTGGAGTGCCACAAACCATTGTAATACTGAGAGGTGTTTGCTCTCCTCTCTCCGCCGAGTCAAGGTCACACTGAGAATGCAGGCTCTACACTGAGGAATTAAAAAGCTTCCATAATTCAGACAGCTTTTCTCAAGTGTCTCGGCTTTCTTAAAGTTGTGGGGTGAGAGCTTTGGAACCTTTGTTTATAATTTTAGGGTTAGGTGTTCATGGCCTTCCACATCTTCCCACCAACTCGTGACCTCTGACCCTTCAAGTTGATCAAGGAGGTGGCAGCTCTTGGGCACCTTCAGGTTTGCAGTCCCAGAAATGTCACCTGCTCTGGACTCTCAGCACAAAGCTGGCGAATCAGCCTCGGTGGGACTGTCCGCAATGCTCATGCTTGCTCAAGGCAAGGTGCATGGGTGCAAGGCAACCCCTACCACAAGTGACAGGGTTATGGTTTTCTGAGATGTTTGCCTAGATGGTGTCTCTGGGCTCTCCCATCTCCTCTGGCCTCACTGGAGGTGGTGTGTGACAGTCAAGAGGAATTTTTAAGGTGGAAGAGGAGACTAAGAAGGAAAAGGCAGGTGCAGAGGGAGAGGGAAAGGAATAGAAGTGGCATCTCTTGGAAGCTGTGGTTTGTGTGAGGGCAATGGGGACGTGCATAGCTGTCACAGAGCATCTGTGTTGGTAGCAGTGCAGCGTGGTCAGAGCCTCCCCTGTAAGTAAAGTGAGGTAGGAAGAACATTCGTGTTCCCTGGGCACTAATCATCTACAGAATGTCTAGGCAAACCCTCCTAGGACAACCCCACCTAAAAAACAAAAACAGGGAATCCCTGTCTCAGAACTGCTGGCCTAAAAGCCAGAAGGGACGTGCCAATGGAAATTGCTGGAAGAGACAGACCACTCTGCTCTCTTCGCTGTACACCCCAATCCTGTGGAGTAACATTTGAGATTGATGGCAAATATGAATTTGGACTTCCAGAAAAGGAAGGAGTTTTGTACAGAGGAGTGTGAGCAAATCCACAGGCATGTTATCATTTGGTCCAACTCAAAGGTCGGTGAGCAAGAGCCTAGAGCTTCTTGAGACTGGAGAACAGCATTTGAGGAGAGGAGAATATGCGAAGCTTAGGAGTGTTCATTTTATAGCGAGATCCAAAAAAATGTGTAATGACATCTTAAACTAGACTGGTTATTACTCAACGCTGTTACTTTGAGCAGATGGACCAGTCGCGTGGGAGGGCCAGAGGCAGAAATTTCAAGGTGTCAGTTGTGCGGTGACATTTGTTTCATGATGATCAATTTTATATTGAAGTGGCTCAGAGCAGATATTTTAGATGAGCTGGGTTTATACTGCAAAACTCAACACAAGTGCGGGCTTTGCTTGGCGGTGGTGAGGTAAGACAACGAGTGTGTATTGCATTACTGCCACAGCTGCCATCTTTGTAGATTCAAAAACTTTTTCACGACAAGCTTGCTGTTACCACAGGCTCCTTGTTCCCGTTGTTTTTGTGGGCGAAGAGAAAGAGTTTGGAATTTCATTTGTCTGAGCAAGGGGTATGATATACAAGGTCAATCATTTCAAGACATGTTCAACGGTATATCATCCTTAGCGTTCAATACAGAGTTTATCAAAATAGGCACCTGAGTTTATATTTTCCTGCCAGGTTGTAGGGCGAAAAATGTCTTGCTATGCAAATACTCTATTTTATGTGTGAATTTTTTTAACTGTAACTTTATGTGTGAATTTATGTCGACATCTGTTGTTTTGTGTGTGTTTTTAATCTGTTTCCAACTCCCTGAGTCTGTGAACCATCCCTCTGACTGGGTCTGTGAACCATCCCTCTGACTGGATGCTGGCCTAAAATCCTATTAGTGTTTAAACAGACCTCAGAGATACCTTGAACCTCTAGGCAAATGCAGACCCGTGACTCTTTGATTGTAATTGTAATCCCTCTAAATTCGTTTTCTGTAGATGCTTTCTTCTCTGTTTTGTTAAGGAAAGTAAACCCCCCATGGTTTTCCAAGGGAAAGAAAGTCTTACCCCAGACTTTAGTGCTGGAAGGGAGGTTAGAGATGTTGAAGTCTGGTTCTCCCTGTGCCTCAGCCCCCCTGGTACTCAGTGGTAGACCTGACCATAAACCTGGGATGTTCTGAGGCCTTGACTTTGTGCCCCTGCCCCCACACCTTTCTGTGTGGCTGGAGACACATGAAACCAACATGATTCTTCTCAAGACCTTCACTGAGGAAGGCAAGCATGAGGGTCCAGTGTTAGGCATCTGGCCATCAATTTTCCAAACATTTTAAGTCCCTGGTTCTTCCTGGAGAAATCCAGGAGCCACTTAAAATTTTTACAGCCGTCTAACTCTGTGCGAGCACAGCATTCTAGTGAGTGCAACCTGCTGGCCACACAGTAAGCAGCGTGTTTTGACAAATTCATTTTCCCTGGGTACTTACATTTTAATTATAAAGTGGCCCTTAAGACAGATAATAGCTGAGCATTTGGCTTGCCTTCTAGAACCTGAAGTTCTGATGATTACCAAGCAGGCATTTCCTCTCTCCTTAAACTGAGAGGTACATTTAATCCACCCCCTCCACCTCCGTCCTCTGGTACCTGCTGTGGGGCCCATCCCGTGAGCCTCTATCCCCGCGGAAGTTTGCTCTCTGCTAAACCTCATCTCTACTAAGCAAGGGGGGGATTATTCCATGAGACAGCAAGGAGCAAGGAACCACGATATTCAAGTCTTTGTCTCCTGGACATTTTTCAAAGTGTCCTTGAACTCAACTCAGCAAACAAAACTTCCTGAAAAACCTCTCAAAACTTAGGCCCTGCTCCATTTGGCCAAAATTGGATGGCTGCTCCAAAACTCTGAACTTCTTGAAACTCCATCTGCTACAACATTACTCCTGGAGTTTGAACGTGACTTTTTCTGTCTTCGAGTATAGAAATGTTTGTTTAATTAACGATACACAAGTCTGTTAAGCAGAAGGCTCCAAGTGGTGTTCTACCCTTGAGCACTCTTGGCACCATCTTGATTCTACCAAGTGCCATCACCCTGGCTCAAGGGGTATATTCAAGTCCATGTCCTAAGCTTAGATGCTTTTCTTTTTTAATGACAAATAGTACAGGGGGTTGAACATTGTAACTGAAAGTATAAGGTTAGATCAATTACATGCAAAGATGTTCATTTAATATTGTGTGAGCTGAGTCCATCTGTATAAATTATTTGCACACTTTTCTTGCATGATGAACTGACATTTTTATAGTTTGTACCAGACGGTGGCATATTTTTGTAAAACTTTTTGACACTGAATTGCAATAAATGTTTTTCCAACAATACACACTGGTGCATTTTTGGTGTATATCAATTCCAGTTGGCTTTTTATCATACTGAGTGTGTTTATCTTTTGCCTCGCTAGGCTTATATGCCTTCTCCCAGAAACTTCTCATTGTTGTAAAATTTCTAGGAATACATAGAAAAAGAAGCTTGTTGCTGGGTACCAACCTGAGTCAGTAATACAGCATTATGCTTACATGAGATATTTCTATATTTGCTGTTTGTATAGTACAAAGATTAGGGAATAATGAACTTTCAAGTCGATATCAATGTACTCACCAACATTTAATGAATAACTACTATATGCTAGACTCTGCAAGTCTAGGATGATGAACAAGACTCACATGGTCCCTGCCTTAATGGAATTTAGGTTCTAGTAAGAAAGACAATAAAAACAAATAGGAAAAAATAAAATTTGTAATAAGTGCTATGAAGGGAATAAAGAAGGGCTGAGACCTGAAAGGGGAGAAGGACTTGGCCCTAGAAGAATAAGGGCATGAGCATTCCAGAAAGAGGAAATGGCTTGTGCGAGGTGCAGATCATGGCCCTGCCAGACAAAGACCACACTTACCCCCGTCTCAATCTCCTCAACTCCAAGATGATGATAATCTTTTATTTCTTATGGTTGTGGGGGTCAAGTGAACTAGTATATGTAAAGTACTTGGAGCCAGGCATATAATATGAGTTCAATTTACATCAACAATTATTATTCCCTGAGCCTGAAAAGGGGGTAAAAATTACACTGTGTTCTAAGTTGGGTGCGATTTGCTCAGGTGACTTACTTGTGGGTAACTGTCTCAGTACATTCACTCTGGAACTTACCCTGATCCTGCCACTAACTCTCCACCACAAAATGACATACAATGTTCATGAGAGGTAATTTTTTTAAAGTTCCACCAGGATCACAAAATTTCACCATTTCAGAAATAGCCCATGCATTCTTTGCTCAGGCTGTTCCAACGTGCCTAGAATGCTGTTCCCCTGCCCCTCTGTCTGGTAAGCTTCTATTGCTTGTGGGGCCAACTCCTTGCTGAAGCCTCCTCAAGTAAATCTCATCTCCCAGAACATTCTAATCCTTTTTGTGGCTGTGTCTAGTACCTAGCACAGTGCCAGGGCAGAATGAACGAATAAACCCACACATCAAATATTCATTAAATGCTTTTAAAGCCTCAGTTATAACCACACACTTACCTTCGGCTAGAATGAGAATCGGCATGAGTTTATGTATATAGCTCCTCAGTTAAAAATTAATAGTAGTTGATGAAGTAACAAGTGTAGAGACTCAGTATTCATTAAAGTTTCTTTTAAGTGCAACTAAGTCTTTACAAGTCTCATAAATTTTCATACAAAATAAGAGGGCCTTCTTTTACTGTTGGAAAAACTCAAACTGAACAGACCAAAGTTTCTTAAAAAAAAAAAAAAGTCCCCTTTAGCAAACTTAATAAAAATTCCTTTCAAGATTTTAAAGCTGCAATTATAAATCTAATGAATTTGCTTTTTTTATAAGCACTTCAAATAACTGCTCAGAGAAGCTTTAACCCTAATAAGCAAAACATTCCCAAATAAAATTCATAATTTATAAATTTAATAACTTAAGCATAAATATACCTCCAATTTTCTTTTAAAAAAAAACTCTAACAAGGTAAAATTATTATACCCTTCCACTTAAAATCACATCTTACATTAATTATTATTTTAAATGGACATAAATCATGTAGCTACGGTAGGCAGAACAATGGCTACTGAAGATGTCCACATCCTACTCCCCAGAGCCTGTGAACGTTAGGTTACATGGGAAACGGGAAACGCGGGTGTGATTAAATTGGGCGCTTTGAGATAGGGAGCTCATCCCGGCCTCTCTGGGAGGGCTCAGTGCAATCACGGGGTCCTTAAAAGTGGAAGAGGGAGGCAGAACGGTGTAAGTGATGCAATGTGAAAAGGACTCATCCCGCCATCACTCCCTTTGAAGATGGAGAAAGGGGACCATGAACCAAGGAATGAGAGCAACATCTGGAATCTGGAAAACACAAAGGCAAGGAAACAACTTTCCCCTAGGGCCTTGGTCGGCAAACTCATTAGTCAACAGAGCCAAATATCAACAGTACTTCTTCAAAATAGACTCGCCCAGGCCGAAAACCGACTTCTGCGCATGGGCCACAAAGTTTCAATCGCACTGTACGTGCGCCTGCACATGGTATTTTGTGGAAGAGCCACACTCC